GCAAATCGGGTAATGTTTGTTTCACGCTTTGTCAATAAACAATATTTAATGGTCAATGTTTAGGCATTTTAGGACAAAGCATGAGCATGACTTAAATACACCCAGATTAATCAAATCAGTCAGTGCAGCTACAATTACATTTCGCTGCATTTCTTTTTCACACCAAAGTGAAGTGGTATTGTATCACAAATTAGATTTTTTATTTGTAAAAAGATCACTGACAGGTGGTCCGATTCCTTTTTTATTGACATTCTCTAAAGCTAGGGTGATAGTGTCCAAACTATGCATTAATTGGACATACTTCACCGAGTTGAATGCAATTACTTCTGAGATCCACCAGGTGTCGGTATAGAGCTGCACTGTTGCGGCACAGTATCAATGTAGTTGTATTTTTTTTTTTTTGCTGCTATAGGACATGAATTTCTCCCAGGGTGATGAATAAAATATCTATCGATCATGTATTATGTCTGCCCTGCGCCTTACCCGTGACCACACGCTGTGCGCTGCTAGACGTGTCGCTCGCCATCGAAGGGAACGCATCTCCAGGCGTGGAAGCTGCAGCTGGTTCTGGAGGGATTGGGGACGGGGACCTTGGGGGGTCGTTCGACGCTTCACTTGCGACAAGGGATTCTATAATAAGACAAACACACACAACGACTTAAGTAAAAGCACAAAACTGAATGGCAACACGTGAAATGGCAAGATGTAGCACGTGTTAGCAGCTTGCTATCGATAGCTTAAAGTAGCTAGCTCACTTTGTACAGCAGACAACAATCAAACGTTTACATGAATAAATACATTCCAGTGGGCATTGAGCCACAGGTTACGTGATAATGCATTTTCACAATAACTACAGATAAAAGTTACAAAGCACTTACCATTATCGCCCATTCTCGACGTGGAAGAAGAGTCCAGAGCACACTCCCGTCCATTGTTTGCAGGCCTGTGGCCATAAATGGCATCCATCTCGGCATACCACCTCCAGGTCTTCCGATTGACCCCACTTCGGCCGTTGTGGTCCTTTATGGGCCGGTAATCGCACTTCATCTTCTTAATCTTGTCCCTGCACTGCTGATGCGTACGGTGGTAACCGTGTGTTAGCAAGAGCTGGGCGATCTCTTTATAGACCTTCTCATTTCGCGTACTGCCATCGAGCTCCTTCTGTATTCTGTCTTCGGCCAGTAAAGACAGAAATGTTTGGACCTCATCAACAGACCACGGTGTGGACTTTTGCGGCTTGCTGGATTCCATTTCTCGAAGCGGAGTGCAGTGCGTATGCTCACGGGGCAGTTTTAAAAATGGCGGGGTTGAATCTTGTCTCTCAATACGGTCAGACGTCGCACTTATGACGCTACCAGTGACGACAGTCGTTGGCCAATAGTGTAGGCAGTCCGCTTACGTCACGAGAGTGTAGCTTTTTGGAACCGCTCCCGAGGCGGTCCGAAAATAGAACACAATACCTAGCTTCAACGCTAGTGGAAATAAAGTAACGCGCCGTGTCGTGTAGAGTGGTGTAGTGCCGGTGCTGTGGAAAAGCGCCATAACATCCCACTGCAGGAAGACAATCAATCAATCAAATGTTATTTATGAAGCGCTTTTCATACAAAAGATGCAACACAAAGTGCTTTACAGTTTGGTTAAAAACAATCCCGCCGACCCAAGACCCCTCCCCCAGACCACCCAACAGACCCACCCCAAACCACAGACAAACACACACTCTCATGAACACACATATACACACACACACACACACACACACACACACACACACACGCACCAGTAAAACAATAAAACCATGATGAGAGACTTGGCAGGGTCATCCAAGGAGCCGTCTGCACCAGGAGCAGAGAGCCGCCTGTAGCCACAGGGGACGACACAGGACCCAGAGGAGACATGAAACCGAGGCCCCAGGCCCCCACCAGGCCCAAGAGTCCGACCCCCGCAGCCACACCGACCACTGCTCCCGGTGCAGAGGGCTCCTCCAGAGGAAACACTGGGTACACTAAAAACAATATAATAAGTAAAAGACTAAAATGTGAGACTAAAAGGAACACACAATACATGAATAATAGCAATAGCAATATAATAAATAATAAATAATAAAAGATAAATAGAATTGAATAATAAAAACTAATCAAAAGCTAATCTAAAAAAGTGTGTCTTGAGCCTACTTTTAAAAATATGAACGTTCTCTGCGGCCCTGAGCTCCTCCTCAGACTGTTCCAGAGACGGGGGCCGTAGTGCTGGAAGACACTGGAGAGACTGGTCCTGGGACATCTCCGCTCCACTCTGAGCCCAGCGATGGACCCGCTGCAGTTCGCCTACAGGCCGGGCATCGGAGTCGAGGACGCCATCATCTCCCTCCTCCATCGCTCCCTGTCCCACCTGGAGAAACCCGGCTCCACTGTGAGGATCCTCTTCTTCGACTTCTCCAGCGCCTTCAACACCATCCAGCCGAGGCTTCTCAGGGACAAGCTGGAGACAGCTGGAGTGGACTACGACCTGTCCCAGTGGATCCTGGACTACCTCACAGACAGACCCCAGTTTGTGAGAACCAGGGACTTTTGCCGCTTTTCCACAGTATCAGTACGATACGGTACGATACGGTACGATATGGTACGATATGGTACGATACGGTACGATACGGTACGATATGGTACGATACGGTACGATACGGTACGATACGGTACGATACGGTACGATACGGTACGATACGGTACGATACGGTACGATACGGTACGATACGATACGGTACGATACGGTACGATACGGTACGATACGGTACGATACGGTACGATATGGTACGATACGGTACGATATGGTACGATACGGTACGATACGGTACGATATGGTACGATACGGTACGATATGGTAAGCACAGTGAAAATGCTTTGGTGTTAAAGGAATGACTTGGACACTGAACGTGTGAAGTCACTGGTGCTGACTGTGCTCTGTACCATCTGTGAAAACCATGGAGACCTGTGACTACACACCTGTAGCAACAGCAGCTGTGGTAGAATGGGACACACCTGTAGCAACAGCAGCTGTGGTAGAATGGGACACACCTGTAGCAACAGCAGCTGTGGTAGAATGGGACACACCTGTAGCAACAGCAGCTGTGGTAGAATGGGACACACCTGTAGCAACAGCAGCTGTGGTAGAATGGGACACACCTGTAGCAACAGTAGCTGTGTAGCACTGATGCAGATGTAACCCAGGTCTCTCCCTTTGATCCTCATTGACAGTTCATTGGCTCCGCCACTGATGGCGCTGTAGTTAAAGTATGGCCGCCAGGCTCATGCACTGTCTGGCTACTTCCTGTTAGCCCTTCCCTGTGTGGCAGTGAAGAAGATGACATAGTCTGGGATCGCGTCTTTAATTCCGACAGAAGACATGTTTTATTGTCGATGGTAGAGACAGCACGAACAACAGATACAACAGAATGCAAGTGTATTATACAGAGCGTTGGCATGGAGACCTCCAATCAGCAGCTGCCACAGTGCCATGTAGCTTGGCCTTCAGATAGACAAAACAAGGGAGAAGTACTGGCTTCTGCACATTTATAGAATGATGAGTTTAACTTTAACAAAAGTTTCTTAAAAGTGTTATGAAATCTCACAGCAGTCTAACTGAAAGCGTCTGTAACTAACAGAAAACTGATCAGAAACATTCCAGCATTCAGCGGTGAGTTGCTCATGTTTATATTCATTCATTCTGGCCGCTCTGTTTGCGCCGACGTATTTTAAACATGTGTACTTTGTAAAGTTAACTATTTCCGCATTAATCGCGATCTGGTTTTTGCAGTTTTAAAAGTATTTCTCACCACTCAAACCTCATCAAATACAATAAATGACCCGGTATACTTGTAGTACACAAGTAGTACATCATTCACATTGTTTTGATTGTTTGTAATTTGAGTTAAAGAGCGGAGTCTGTTAGAGCTCCATATGATAATGAGCTACGGCTGTAGTAGTCACATGACCTTGTATTGCGCAATATTGATTTAGATTTATGAATGATGCATCAAATGATTTTTATTTTTATAAACATTTAATGGAAACTGATTATTTTGTATGGTACTGTATTTTTTGGGACCAAATGCTGATTATTTATGGTGTTTTTTTCCTTTTGACCTTTTGTTCCCAGGTCAGGTTTTTTTCCACCCTGAACCAGAACTGAATTAAATTCCTCTTTCGAGGCGGCGAGCTGAGCCCAGAAGCCTGCGAATGGTAAGACCTTTATTTTTTCCCCAAACCGAGAGTTTTGAACCGAGAACTATTAAAAAGGGTTTTTTTCCCATGTGTGGGTTTTCCCTTTAAATCTTATTTTATTGAACTTTGTTTTTGAATACTTTAATATTATTTTTGAATATCTTGGTTGTTATATTTGATTGCTTATTGTTTTCCACTTCTATTTTCTACACACAAAAAAGACAAACATTTATAAATACAATATTTTTTATTCTGTTACTCCGTCTCCCTGGTCCTCATTCCCACAAGCTCCTCACGTATTTAGTTTCTGTCAGTCTTAGTTTCCTTGCATCCCTTAGCCCTAACCTAATTGTTTACTTTAAATTAGTGTTACACAGAGAAGGGTCTGATGCGTCGCTTTTCATCTAAACATTTATTATGACCAAAAATAAAACCTTTGTATTTACCAAATCTCTCCATTGTTGTTCATACATTTACCAATGTTATACATGTTTACTGACAAATATAATGTATGAGTCCAGACTGTAGACTGTGCTCTGGACAGAGCAGTCGCATTCTCTTGCTGCTCCTCGCTTGCTGCTTTTTTATCTCCTTTAATCATTTTTATTTACATTTTTATTCCACAAAACACGGATTACTCCTTTTTACAAACTTCAACACAAGACTTGTGGAATGTACCTAACTTACAGGATGTCGGGAGGACGGGAAAATAGAACAAAACTTTGCGACGGCTGTTTTTCACTCAAACAGGAGCTAAAACTTCTTCAAGACCGAATGTTTGTGCTTGAATCAGAATTGGGGCTGAACACAACAATACCAGTGAAAGGAAATGGACCACATGGACAGAACGTAAGTTATGATGACGCTATTTCATTTCCCAGAATCAACAGAGACAATTGTTGGAACACATATGGTGCCAAGCCCAAACAAGGCAAAGCTAATGATAACAAGAGTGTCATAATGCCACAGCAAAAATCTTTAATTACAAGAAACCGCTTTTCACCACTTTTGGAAGATGAATCAGCAGTAGCCTCTCAGTCCCAGTCTCAGTCTCAGTCAAGGTCAAATGCAGCTGAGTCGCTCTTTATCGGGGATACTGCGATAAAACATGTAAACATGCGTAATCTCAAGGTTCACTCAGTACACTCTGCCAAAGTGGATGAGATAAGGCGGTTGGCTCCGAGGCTTCTGTCTGAGACCGGCGGGGTAAAAAGATTGTTGATCCACGTGGGGGCAGTAGACGTCTATGACAACACAAGTGAAAAGTTGAAACGGGATTACTCTCTCTTATTGGACGACCTTGCTAAAATGGACACAAAAATCGTTATCAGTGGCCCAATACCAAATGTGGACGGGAAGCAAATGAAATTCAGTCGTCTGTATCAGCTAAATACTTTCCTACTCAACGAATGTTCACGCAGAGGACTTGCCTTCATTGAGAATTTTAATCTGTTCTGGAATAGGCATGAGCTTTTTGAAGGGAAAGGGCCACATCTGAACACTTACGGAGTAAAAGTGTTGATGGATAACCTTTCTTTTGCCCTGAGACCACAGCCTGCGCAGCGCGTGCAGCCATCGAAAGGGAGGAAGCCAACTCCAAAAGTCTCTGCACCTCCACCACCTCGAAGGATCTCAACACCACCACCACCTCGAAGGATCTCAACACCTCCACCACCTCGAAGGATCTCAACACCACCACCACCTCGAAGGATCTCAACACCTCCACCACCTCGAAGGATCTCAACACCACCACCACCTCGAAGGATCTCAACACCTCCACCACCTCGAAGGATCTCAACACCACCACCACCTCAAAGGATCTCAACACCACCACCACCTCGAAGGATCTCAACACCTCCACCACCTCGAAGGATCTCAACACCACCACCACCTCAAAGGATCTCAACACCACCACCACCTCGAAGGATCTCAACACCTCCACCACCTCGAAGGATCTCAACACCACCACCACCTCAAAGGATCTCAACACCACCACCACCTCGAAGGATCTCAACACCTCCACCACCTCAAAGGATCTCAACACCACCACCACCTCGAAGGATCTCAACACCTCCACCACCTCGAAGGAGCTCAACACCTCCACCACCTCGAAGGATCTCAACACCACCACCGCCTCGAAGGATCTCAACACCTCCACTGTCATCAGAAGCAGCTGCATCATTACCAGCAGCAGCTGCATCATCACCAGCAGCAGCTGCATCATCACCAGCAGCAGCTGCATCATCACCAGTAGCAGCTGCATCATCACCAGCAGCAGCTGCATCATCACCAGCAGCAGCTGCATCATCACCAGCAGCAGCTGCATCATCACCAGCAGCAGCTGCATCATCACCAGTAGCAGCTGCATCATCACCAGCAGCAGCTGCATCATCACCAGTAGCAGCACCAGCAGCACGACCACCACCACCAACATCCTCATCCCCAGCCTGCTCCAAAGCAGCCACGCCTTCTTCATCTACAGCGCCTCTGAAGCCCCCATCCTCACCCCAGCCTACAGCAGACAGGCCTGTGCTGGGGTTTCCTCAACCACCTGCCCCTCCATCAAAGACTCCCTCGCCACCTCCCATGGACCTGTCTTGGGTCCCCCCTGCCACGTCCACTCCATCAAGAGAGAATGGGGACACGTCCCTTTGTTTTTCATCCCCGCCTTCACTGTTAGACCTACCTGAACACTCTGCAGGGCTAATAAAATCGGCGATGAAGACTATTCCTCTCACACCCATATTAGCTCGATCTAGAGTCCTGTCCAACATTCTAAACCACTCCTCATATGTACCTCCAAAACCACCTAGGGTTTCCAATTCACCTACAAAAACCACCTCAGCCAGTCCCTCCCCTAACCTCATGACCCTTCCACCCCCACTTCCCCCTCGCTCAACACCCAAAACCTCTGCCTCAGCCCACCCCGGCCCTAACCCATCACCAAAAACCCCTCCACCTCCCTGCCCCCCTCGTTCAACACCCAAAAGCCACCCACCTCTCCATCCCTCCTCCCCCGCCTTCCCCTTCCCCTCTTTTCTCTAAACACTAGGATGCACAGGGTCTCTGCTTCGCAGCCACTGGCAGTCTAGTTAGAGGAGAGACCCGGCTGGGGCCCTGTCATGAAGCCACCTGTGCCATTCCCTTAGTGATAACACAAAGAATACATTACAGAAAAACATCTGGAGTTAATCAGTCTAATCTGGAAAATCTAATTCTTGTTCCGAGTAAGAATCAGCCGACCACAACCGCTGATACTGAAACTTTGAAACTTGCTACGCTTAATGTCAGATCTCTTTGTAACAAGTCTTTTTTAATCAATAATTTTATTTGTTCTCATAATGTGTCTGTCCTTTCCTGTGAGTAACCCTAACCCAGGGGTGCTCAATACGTCGATCGCGATCTACCAGTCGATCGCAAAGGTAGTATTGGTAGATCGCATTAAATAAATAAAAAATTACACATTCTAAACGAATATATACAAAAAACTCCGGGCAAAGTGGAGATTTTTGAAAACTCCGTTAATGCATTTGTGTGTAGACAGAGATAACCAGAGTTTTGCGTTCTCGCACGCCACAGTACCCCCCTAAATTCCTCTGATCACTGAAGCATGGATCATACTACCTTAAAAACTGTTCGCTGTGAGATGCTCGCAGCAGCAAACATCCTCCACATCAGAGAGCAGCAAAGTGATCGCGGGGACTCACGCTCGAAAACAACCAAACCAGGACTAAACCAGGACTAAACCAGGACTAAACCAGGACTAAATCAGGGCTGAGGACGGGGTCAGTGCTTGTAAACATACGTCTTTAGTCTTCTATGACTGTAAAAGTGCCGTTACCGGCATCTGCATCAAAGCTCCGCCCACTTCTGTGTTTTTCCCCAACGCAGGACAGGACGTAAGAGACGCACATGTTTGGAATGTTACGAATGTGATTGATAACGCAGATGTGTGGATGCAAATTATTTTATAAACTGAGGAGGAGAAATATTTGGATTTAAAAAAAACAGGCATGGCACATGGACATGGCACCACAGTCAAATGACATCTGTGTTTTACTCAGTAATGTTTTACTCAGTAATGTTTTACTGACACTTAGGTGACTGCACATGCGCAAACAACCGCGCTCAGTGCAGGAAAGCTAAACCACGACAAACTTGTCAGCGAGTTGCCACCAATTTTCCGGACTATGCATCCCTGGCCGATTCAATTCAGTGCAAGTCATCAGAGTAAACTCGGGTAATGACAAAAAATGTACATAGGTAATTGTGTTGTGTTGTGCTATATTGGCTCATGCGGTTTTGCATGTACATAAACATACATTGTAGATTTAAAGAATATTTTTTTAAATAAATATATGATTTGCATTTTTGTAGTAGGTAGATCATTTTGACTTGATCCTTTTATAAGTAGCTCGCATGCTGAAAAAGTGTGAGCACCCCTGCCCTAACCCAACCCACTAACATGCTGTGAGACCAAAGTTTTTAAGGACAGTATTGAGCTCTTTTGTATTTCTGTTAGAAACATCGTCCACATGCACATTACAATCACCTGTAATGATCAGGGCATCAAAATCTACACATACAACTGTAAGCATTTGGATAAAATCATCAATAACATTCTGAGTGTGCTGGTTTGTAAATAACCACATAGAGTATGGAAGGAGATCCTTTCTGGGTAACTATTCCTAAACAAAGCGCATACACCTCCACCTTTTTTACTTTCACACGCTTCAAATTCAAAAGTGTAATTGGGTGGAGCCGATTCTATTAAGACTGTGTTTCCCGTGTCTATGTCTACGCTTCAGGTAAAAACATAAAATCAAGATTATAAAAAGATATGAAGTCATTCATTAAGAATGATTTGTTACAAAGTGATCTAACATTAAGAACAGCTTCAGATCACTTTCTGTGGAACGTGACAATGCATGTGTACAGGGGATAGTACTCAGGTTCCTTTGATTTGACGTTCTAACAGTTTTCCTGGTATTCAATCTTGGTACAGTCTTTACACTGGGTGGTAAGTAAGCAGTAAGTAAGTAAGCTTTTATTTATATACCGCCTTTTCACTGCACATCGCAGTCTCAAAGCGGTTTACAATTGTTATTTTTTTGGGAGTGGGGGGGCCAGTACAGGAGGCGCATGCCAGACCTATTGTACATATTTTTTGTGGTAGGGAAAACCGGAGCACCCGGAGGAAACCTACGCAGACACGGGGAGAACATGCAAACTCCACTCAGAAAGGCCCTGGTCCAACCGGGATTCGAACCCAGGACCTTCTTGCTGAGAGGCGAGAGTGCTATCCACTCAGCCACCGTGCCGCCCACGTGCCGTGCCGTGGTGCATCACCATTGAGAAGATAGGGGTCAGTGTTCGTGTTGTTGTACTCACCCGGTGAAGAGGAAGTAGACAGGGGCGGTGAAGGTGGAGGCTGTGATGTAAACAGTCAGTTGTTTCTCGTGGCCCACTGTACAACGTATCGCAAGTAGTCCACAAATAATCTGGTACCAAATTTGTTTAGATGCAGACAGGGCTGGACTGACCATCGGGCGTACCGGGCAATGCCAGAAGGGCCGATGCCCATATTTGGGCCGGTCTGTTTGCCTCATACAAAAAACATGTTTGTGAAAAGTGTAAATCCGTTGAGAACTGTTCGAGGGGAGAGCGCGTGTCCGCGGGGCTCCTGCTGTATGTACTGGAACGGGATTCCACCACCTCAGCGGCCGCAGTGTTCCCGCATCCAGCGGCTCTGAGCTGGACGCGGGAACCGCTCACAACACAACACGGTGAGCGCGTAGCCGCAACGTGACCATGTACCCAAGACCATAAACGTGCACAGGACCATGCGTGTCTTTGCGTAATTTGTGCACCCAATAAATACACCGCTGCAGGAAACAGTCCGCGTCTCCCCTTTCCTCTCAAAGTGCGACTAAATTAAAGCTCGGGTACCTAAATTTTCCATTGCATTAAAAGTTCATGTTTGAGCCCAAAAGTAAAATGTTGTGAAAAAATTAAACAGATTTAGAGCCAGCAAATGGCTGACATTATGCATTTCAGTCTTTTTGACCAATTCTCATGTCTGTGCCCACCTCCCTCACTCTGAGACATGTTTATTACTCTGTTTAATGTAGACTATTGCACTTTATTTTATTGTTGAAACCACAGACATCCTGATCCTCTACAGTATGCTTCCACATACTGTATAAACCAGGGGTCGGCAACCTTTAGTGCTCCTAAAGTGCCAGGCGGCGTGTGCATTATAGACTGTGTGTGCGCATGGATCCCAAAGATAAAGAGAGTCGATAAGACTGGACTGAGAATGAGAATGAACATTTGCTTTCAGTCAATGAGGAAGGACTGCTTCATGTTTGTAATGAAAAGTGTTGTTGCAACAGGAGGAACAAAGAAGCTTTAAACACTGTTCACTGAAACATTCATTCATCATAAAGTCAGAGCAACTATTTTCAGACTTCAAAAACCTTCGCTAAGACGGTGAAAGAAAAGGCCATTAAGGACATTCAGCTCCAGCAAACTTCAGCCTGTGATGGATATGAACAGACAGTGATGCAGGTGAACTCGGGGCCAAAAAGCAGATTTATTTACTCTATTTGTACAATTGCAAGAAGGTTAAAGTTAAAGCAGAGTTGTCACGTGGTGCGTCTCCAGGACACGCTGCAGTGAAAATACACATTTGATAATCATGAATGCTTCTTATGTATTTGTAGCCTTTACTTGGTCATTTAGATATTAGGCTAATGTAGCTAATGTAGCTAATACAGCTTCAGCCCCTGTTACCTTCATATAAGCCTTATGCAACGCTGTTATTTTTTTTTTTTGTCAAATAGGGCTCCTTGAACCTTTTGAGTTGCCTGGGCCGCTAAAAAGGAAAAAATGCCCGGGCCGTTTTTTTTGTCCCAGTCCAGCCCTGGATGCAGACCATCAGGGCGGTATGCAGACCATCAGGGCGGTATGCAGACCATCAGGGCGGTATGCAGACCATCAGGGCGGTATGCAGACCATCAGGGCGGTATGCAGACCATCAGGGCGGTATGCAGACCATCAGGGCGGTATGCAGACCATCAGGGCGGTATGCAGACCATCAGGGCGGTATGCAGACCATCAGGGCGGTATGCAGACCATCAGGGCGGTATGCAAGCGTCTCGAGAAAAGGTCACAATTATCCACGAATACAAAGTTAAAAGAGCTGCAGCCATACATTTAGTGCCACTAGGTATACATGCTGAGAAAGTGGGGTCAAGGGGAAAGTGGACCAAGGAGATGAACCACCTCCTCATCAACGTGAGGAAGACCAAGGAGATGAACCACCTCCTCATCAACGTGAGGAAGACCAAGGAGATGAACCACCTCCTCATCAACGTGAGGAAGACCAAGGAGATGAACCACCTCCTCATCAACGTGAGGAAGACCAAGGAGATGAACCACCTCCTCATCAACGCAGGGAAGACCAAGGAGATGAACCACCTGCTCATCAACATGAGGAAGACCAAGGAGATGAACCGCCTCCTCATCAACGTGAGGAAGACCAAGGAGATGAACCACCTCCTCATCAACGCAGGGAAGACCAAGGAGATGAACCACCTCCTCATCAACGTGAGGAAGACCAAGGAGATGAACCACCTCCTCATCAACGCAGGGAAGACCAAGGAGATGAACCACCTCCTCATCAACGTGAGGAAGACCAAGGAGATGAACCACCTCCTCATCAACATGAGGAAGACCAAGGAGATGAACCGCCTCCTCATCAACGTGAGGAAGACCAAGGAGATGAACCACCTCCTCATCAACGCAGGGAAGACCAAGGAGATGAACCACCTCCTCATCAACGTGAGGAAGACCAAGGAGATGAACCACCTCCTCATCAACATGAGGAAGACCAAGGAGATGAACCGCCTCCTCATCAACGCGGGGAAGACCAAGGAGATGAACCACCTCCTCATCAACATGAGGAAGACCAAGGAGATGAACCGCCTCCTCATCAACGTGAGGAAGACCAAGGAGATGAACCACCTCCTCATCAACGCAGGGAAGACCAAGGAGATGAACCACCTCCTCATCAACGTGAGGAAGACCAAGGAGATGAACCACCTCCTCATCAACGCAGGGAAGACCAAGGAGATGAACCACCTCCTCATCAACATGAGGAAGACCAAGGAGATGAACCGCCTCCTCATCAACGTGAGGAAGACCAAGGAGATGAACCACCTCCTCATCAACGTGAGGAAGACCAAGGAGATGAACCACCTCCTCATCAACATGAGGAAGACCAAGGAGATGAACCACCTCCTCATCAACGTGAGGAAGACCAAGGAGATGAACCACCTCCTCATCAACGTGAGGAAGACCAAGGAGATGAACCACCTCCTCATCAACGTGAGGAAGACCAAGGGGATGAACCACCTCCTCATCAACGTGAGGAAGACCAAGGAGATGAACCACCTCCTCATCAACGTGAGGAAGACCAAGGAGATGAACCACCTCCTCATCAACGTGAGGAAGACCAAGGAGATGAACCACCTCCTCATCAACGTGAGGAAGACCAAGGAGATGAACCACCTCCTCATCAACGTGAGGAAGACCAAGGAGATGAACCACCTCCTCATCAACGTGAGGAAGACCAAGGAGATGGTGGTGGATTTCCGCAGACGTCACTCTGCCGCTCCAGCTCCAGTGAACATCCAGGGAAAGGACATCGAGAGAGTGGACTCTTACAAGTACCTGCGTGTTCATCTGAACCACAAACTGGACTGGACTCATAACACAGACGCCCTCTTCAAGAAGGGCCAGAGCCGCCTCTACCTGCTGAGGAGGCTAGGCTCTACTGCTGAGGAGGATCTACTGCTGAGGAGGTTCTACTGCTGAGGAGGTTCTACTGCTGAGGAGGCTCTACTGCCGAGGAGGTTCTGCTGCCGAGGAGGCTCTACTGCCGAGGAGGTTCTGCTGCCGAGGAGGCTCTGCTGCCGAGGAGGCTCTGCTGCCGAGGAGGCTCTGCTGCCGAGGAGGCTCTGCTTCCGAGGAGGCTCTGCTTCCGAGGAGGCTCTACTGCCGAGGAGGTTCTGCTGCCGAGGAGGTTCTGCTGCCGAGGAGGCTCTGCTGCCGAGGAGGCTCTGCTGCCGAGGAGGCTCTGCTGCCGAGGAGGCTCTGCTGCCGAGGAGGCTCTGCTGCCGAGGAGGTTCATGTGAAGCCTAAAGACCTTCTGTGACTGTGGTGGAGCCTCTTGTATGGTGTGGTCTTCAGCAACATCACAGAGACGGAAGAAGCTGGAACATCAGGGAATCTAGCTCCATCCACAGAGCAGCAGGTGGGGGACAGGAACTCCTGGGGTCCTGGACAGAGACCACAGAGACAGAGACCACAGAGACAGAGACCACAGAGACAGAGACCACAGAGACAGAGACCACAGAGACAGAGACCACACAGAGACAGAGAGACAGAGACCACAGAGAGACAGAGACCACAGAGAGACAGAGACCACAGAGAGACAGAGACCACAGAGAGACAGAGACCACAGAGAGACAGAGACCACAGAGAGACAGAGACCACAGAGAGACAGAGACCACAGAGAGACAGAGACCACAGAGAGACAGAGACCACAGAGAGACAGAGACCACAGAGACCACAGAGAGACAGAGACCACAGAGAGACAGAGACCACAGAGAGACAGAGACCACAGAGAGACAGAGACCACAGAGAGACAGAGACCACAGAGAGACAGAGACCACAGAGAGACAGAGACCACACAGAGACAGAGACCACAGAGAGACAGAGACCACAGAGAGACAGAGAGACAGAGACCACAGAGAGACAGAGACCACACAGAGACAGAGAGACAGAGACCACAGAGAGACAGAGACCACACAGAGACAGAGACCACAGAGAGACAGAGACCACACAGAGACAGAGACCACACAGAGACAGAGACCACAGAGAGACAGAGACCACAGAGAGACAGAGACCACAGAGAGACAGAGACCACAGAGAGACAGAGACCACAGAGAGACAGAGACCACAGAGAGACAGAGACCACAGAGAGACAGAGACCACAGAGAGACAGAGACCACACAGAGACAGAGAGACAGAGACCACAGAGAGACAGAGACCACAGAGAGACAGAGACCACACAGAGACAGAGACCACAGAGAGACAGAGACCACAGAGCGTCTCTTGTTGTGGACCATGTGTGATTCATGTTTCTGCATTTGTGTGACGCCCACGAGTCTGATGCTCAAACTGTCACAGCGAGAGACCAGAGAGAGACCAGAGAGAGAGACCAGAGAGAGACCAGAGAGAGAGACCAGAGAGAGACCAGAGAGAGACCAGAGAGAGAGACCAGAGAGAGAGACCAGAGAGAGACCAGAGAGAGACCAGAGAGAGACCAGAGAGAGACCAGAGAGAGAGACCAGAGAGAGACCAGAGAGAGACCAGAGAGAGAGACCAGAGAGAGACCAGAGAGAGAGACCAGAGAGAGACCAGAGAGAGACCAGAGAGAGAGACCAGAGAGAGACCAGAGAGAGACCAGAGAGAGACCAGAGAGAGACCAGAGAGAGAGACCAGAGAGAGACCAGAGAGAGACCAGAGAGAGACCAGAGAGAGACCAGAGAGAGAGACCAGAGAGAGAGACCAGAGAGAGACCAGAGAGAGAGACCAGAGAGAGACCAGAGAGAGACCAGAGAGAGAGACCAGAGAGAGACCAGAGAGAGACCAGAGAGAGACCAGAGAGAGACCAGAGAGAGAGACCAGAGAGAGACCAGAGAGAGAGACCAGAGAGAGACCAGAGAGAGAGACCAGAGAGAGACCAGAGAGAGACCAGAGAGAGAGACCAGAGAGAGACCAGAGAGAGACCAGAGAGAGACCAGAGAGAGAGACCAGAGAGAGACCAGAGAGAGACCAGAGAGAGACCAGAGAGAGACCAGAGAGAGAGACCAGAGAGAGAGACCAGAGAGAGACCAGAGAGAGAGACCAGAGAGAGACCAGAGAGAGAGACCAGAGAGAGAGACCAGAGAGAGAGACCAGAGAGAGACCAGAGAGAGACCAGAGAGAGAGACCAGAGAGAGAGACCAGAGAGAGAGACCAGAGAGAGACCAGAGAGAGAGACCAGAGAGAGACCAGAGAGAGACCAGAGAGAGACCAGAGAGAGACCAGAGAGAGACCAGAGAGAGAGACCAGAGAGAGACCAGAGAGAGACCAGAGAGAGAGACCAGAGAGAGACCAGAGAGAGAGACCAGAGAGAGACCAGAGAGAGACCAGAGAGAGAGACCAGAGAGAGACCAGAGAGAGACCAGAGAGAGACCAGAGAGAGACCAGAGAGAGACCAGAGAGAGACCAGAGAGAGAGACCAGAGAGAGACCAGAGAGAGACCAGAGAGAGACCAGAGAGAGAGACCAGAGAGAGAGACCAGAGAGAGACCAGAGAGAGAGACCAGAGAGAGAGACCAGAGAGAGACCAGAGAGAGAGACCAGAGAGAGACCAGAGAGAGACCAGAGAGAGACCAGAGAGAGAGACCAGAGAGAGAGACCAGAGAGAGAGACCAGAGAGAGACCAGAGAGAGACCAGAGAGAGACCAGAGAGAGACCAGAGAGAGACCAGAGAGAGACCAGAGAGAGACCAGAGAGAGAGACCAGAGAGAGATCAGAGAGAGACCAGAGAGAGATCAGAGAGAGAGACCAGAGAGAGAGACCAGAGAGAGACCAGAGAGAGATCAGAGAGAGAGACCAGGGAGAGACCAGAGAGAGAGACCAGAGAGAGACCAGAGAGAGATCAGAGAGAGAGACCAGGGAGAGACCAGAGAGAGAGACCAGAGAGAGACTAAGAGAGAGAGACCAGAGGTTCTGTTACAGTTAGAGTCAGATACAAACCTCACTATCGTGGGCTGTGTGTGGAGACTGGCCGGTAAGACCAAGGAGATGGTACCTGTGCTAACACCAGTAAGACCAAGGAGATGGTACCTGTGCTAACACCAGTAAGACCAAGGAGATGGTACCTGTGCTAACACCAGTAAGACCAAAGAGATGGTACCTGTGCTAACACCAGTAAGACCAAGGAGATGGTACCTGTGCTAACACCAGTAAGACCAAAGAGATGGTACCTGTGCTAACACCAGTAAGACCAAAGAGATGGTACCTGTGCTAATACCAGTAAGACCAAAGAGATGGTACCTGTGCTAACACCAGTAAGACCAAAGAGATGGTACCTGTGCTAACACCAGTAAGACCAAGAGAGGATGGTACCTGTGCTAACACCAGTAAGACCAAGGAGATGGTACCTGTGCTAACACCAGTAAGACCAAGGAGATGGTACCTGTGCTAACACCAGTAAGACCAAAGAGATGGTACCTGTGCTAACACCAGTAAGACCAAAGAGATGGTACCTGTGCTAACACCAGTAAGACCAAGGAGATGGTACCTGTGCTAACACCAGTAAGACCAAGGAGATGGTACCTGTGCTAACACCAGTAAGACCAAGGAGAGATGGTACCTGTGCTAACACCAGTAAGACCAAGGAGATGGTACCTGTGCTAACACCAGTAAGACCAAGGAGATGGTACCTGTGCTAACACCAGTAAGACCAAGGAGATGGTACCTGTGCTAACACCAGTAAGACCAAAGAGATGGTACCTGTGCTAACACCAGTAAGACCAAGGAGATGGTACCTGTGCTAACACCAGTAAGACCAAGGAGATGGTACCTGTGCTAACACCAGTAAGACCAAAGAGATGGTACCTGTGCTAACACCAGTAAGACCAAGGAGATGGTACCTGTGCTAACACCAGTAAGACCAAGGAGATGGTACCTGTGCTAACACCAGTAAGACCAAGGAGATGGTACCTGTGCTAACACCAGTAAGACCAAGGAGATGGTACCTGTGCTAACACCAGTAAGACCAAAGAGATGGTACCTGTGCTAACACCAGTAAGACCAAGGAGATGGTACCTGTGCTAACACCAGTAAGACCAAAGAGATGGTACCTGTGCTAATACCAGTAAGACCAAAGATATGGTACCTTTGATAACACCAGTAAGACCAAGGAGATGGTACCTGTGCTAACACCAGTAAGACCAAGGAGATGGTACCTGTGCTAACACCAGTAAGACCAAGAGAGATGGTACCTGTGCTAACACCAGTAAGACCAAAGAGATGGACTGGTACCTGTGCTAACACCAGTAAGACCAAGGAGATGGTACCTGTGCTAACACCAGTAAGACCAAGGAGATGGTACCTGTGCTAACACCAGTAAGACCAAAGAGATGGTACCTGTGCTAACACCAGTAAGACCAAGGAGATGGTACCTGTGCTAACACCAGTAAGACCAAGGAGATGGTACCTGTGCTAACACCAGTAAGACCAAGGAGATGGTACCTGTGATAACACCAGTAAGACCAAGGAGATGGTACCTGTGCTAACACCAGTAAGACCAAGGAGATGGTACCTGTGCTAACACCAGTAAGACCAAGGAGATGGTACCTGTGCTAACACCAGTAAGACCAAAGAGATGGTACCTGTGCTAACACCAGTAAGACCAAGGAGATGGTACCTGTGCTGAACATCCAGGGGGAGGACATTGAGCTGCTGACAGCTTCAAGTACCTGTGCTCACATTAACAATAAACTGGACTAGTCCATAATACCGACGCCCTGTACAAGAAGGAGGTGAGGGACAGGAGGCCCCTGGACTCTGTGGAGGAGGTGAGGGACAGGAGGCCCCTGGACTCTGTGGAGGAGGTGAGGGACAGGAGGCCCCTGGACTCTGTGGAGGAGGTGAGGGGCAGGAGGCCCCTGGACTCTGTGGAGGAGGTGAGGGGCAGGAGGCCCCTGGACTCTGGAGGAGGTGAGGGACAGGAGGCCCCTGGACTCTGTGGAGGAGGTGAGGGACAGGAGGCCCCTGGACTCTGTGGAGGAGGTGAGGGACAGGAGGCCCCTGGACTCTGTGGAGGAGGTGAGGGACAGGAGGCCCCTGGACTCTGTGGAGGAGGTGAGGGACAGGAGGCCCCTGGACTCTGTGGAGGAGGTGAGGGGCAGGAGGCCCCTGGACTCTGTGGAGGAGGTGAGGGACAGGAGGCCCCTGGACTCTGTGGAGGAGGTGAGGGGCAGGAGGCCCCTGGACTCTGTGGAGGAGGTGCAGACTCAGGTGTGGAGCTGTTAGTGATGATTGAGTCTGATCATTTTAAGTCTGTTTCACAGTC